AAACGTGCATTTTGTAGCTTAATCTCATTTAACTGGAATGTAACCTATTTAGCTCTGTGGTTTATAAGCTCCACATTAACAGTCTTAAGAATGACAAAATTCAGTGCAAGAAAATCAACCACCTCTTTCCATAGCACTCATTTGGATTTTCCTTGAAATGCACCATCATGACAAAAAGATAATAATGATTGTCCTCTTCTGTCCAAAGGATTCTATTACTCAGGTAACCTGAATCTTTATTGATGAATATAGAACCACCCAGGGAACTACAGAGAAAAATCAAGAGTTCTGAATCTCATGACTAAGGGTATTTTTTAAAAGCAAACATGCAAATATAATATTTATATGCCGCCTATCTACCATCTAAATAAGTTGAACATAAAAAGTGCATTATTTACCTTAAATGCCACTGCATTTTTAGTAACATTTGTCAGAATTATCAAACATTTCTTCTCTGCAGTTTCTTTGGACCCAAAATGCAATTCCTCTGCCGGACTATTGAAAAATATAACATTTTCTACAATAAGTATTTGGAAAGACTTACATTATTTTCTTTAAAATAGTTAATAAATTTATTTAAAATAATTATATGTGATTTATCATGCTCAAAGATAATACTTCAAAAGCTTTAAATTTTAAGAATAATTTTAAAGGCTTCTAACAATACTTTAGATAATTTTTTTACAATATACAGTTTAATGCACAATGGAGATGAAATTCTCCTTTGCATTCCAAAATATGAAACATTGTTAAAATAATGCAACATTTGAAAGCATGAATTATTTGAAGAAATACAATCAAACTTCAATGAATTGAGGGCAAAGCAATCATAGGAGCAAGTAACAAAAAATCTTCTCAAGGCTTTTTTTTTTTTTAGTCTCATGCCATACTTCACAACAATATGGTCAGTATCTTGTTGAACAAGAATGATGGATGTTATACTTTGATAGCTTATTCAGTATAGTAGCAGCTCTTCAAGTCTTTCCCTATCCCATCAAATAATTTTTAGAAAAAGTAGAAAAGAATTTGAATTGAAGATGTACAAACTGATCTTCAACATCTGAAGTTAAACTTGTTTTTTCACATCATCTGCCAGTCTATAGCAGAAATATGGTAATTTGCATACTGAAGTTATTGGCTTTAAAAATATACCTTACATGGGATGAAGGAATTTGCAATATGAAGATTTGTAATGTATTTATTTTAAATGTAACTGTCCATGCCAACTTAGAAATGGTTACCTAAACTTTCATTATATTTAAAAAATGAACTGTCATTCAGTAAACACAAACCCACACACTGTAATACATACTGTTATTAGAATAGAGAATTCTTCACATTAGGACTACAAAAGCTTATAGAAAGTAAGGTATAATTATATTTATTTTGGTCCAAACTGGGAAAAGTGTTTGCAACCCAGCCTTTACAGCCTATCCTATCCAAAATAACCTACTTCTTCACTTGAGGCTGCACTACTGTTAGAACATATAAAGGTCCACAACATGAAGGTGATTATTATTGTCATTTACCTGATATGCAATAAAGATCCTTTAAAAGTGGTAAGTGCTTTCTTGGCATTTTTTGTTTTAGAATCTAATTTGTCACACTCTTCTGATTTTGGAGTTTGTTCTGAAGTATTTGCCTAAACAAACAAAAACAGCAGCTATGTATATTCAGAGTTAATTATTTTATACAATAGAATAGAATGGTACAATTATATATTTTCAGCTACTGAATTACAGTACATCAAAAATAAGAATATCAAATGTAAGTAGGGCCTTATAATAAATTCACACACAGAGAGAGACAAATGTAGGATAGATAGTAGTCTATCCTACCATGTACTGATATATGTGTTTCAAACACTGCAAAATTTTATAAAAATAATTATCTTTTTCACAAGATAAAGCTTTTTGAAAAAAGCTGGTTGTGCTTGGTATTGTAAGTAATGTATTATATATTTCTAAACCTCCACAACAAAGATGATACTTTGATAAATACTGGGATTCTTTGGAAGAATTGTTACCATTAGTACTTATAAATAATTGTTACTCTCACTTTCTTTTCAAAAAGAAAAGAGTATCATGATAGTTTTACATAAATCTTGTACAACTACACATGGACAGTTTTGTTTACTGTACTTCAAAAAGCATTTTATAAAGCTGGAAAAGACAGAAAACAATTGCCAAAATGATCAGAAGATTAGCATAATTCTATGTGGAAAGTGTACAAAATGTAGGTACTATTTCATTTTAAAAAAGAAGAGGAAATTTTAGTACATACAGTAATGGCCAAAATTGTGGAAACCTTTTGGGAAAAGTGTACATTTGAGGTTTGATGGCTAATAACACCCCTTTTTTGGAGTAGTACCATAAAATTATATATCAATGGAAAGATAATTTAATCAATAATGTAATGCAACAAAAGTTGTTCAATTATCTGTATTCTATGAAAAGTTATAGCCAAATAACCAGAAAAAGGAAGCACAACTTGCTTAGGTTGATATCATGTAGCTTTTCTTCATCTGATTGTAGCCAATGAGCATGCATGTTTAGAGAGCCAATCAGGTGTCATCTTGTTTTGGCAATGAGCCAATCAGATCACAGTAGGATTCAGTTACTGATGTCATGTATTAAAGCTGAGAGGAGGACATTTGTCAGTGTGTTATGTGATTGCTATCAAGTTGGTTGGGGTTTTTTGTGTTCTTTCATTTAGTGAGCTGTAAAACGTAATAAAATTAAAGTAATGGTGCAAAGAGTTGACTGGTCACCCAGAAAGCAATGTAAAATAGTATTATTAAGTGAACAAGGCTACAGTTATAAAGAAATTAGAAAAAAAATTGGTGGAAACTTAACCAAAGGTAGCATTTCTAAGTTTTTGAAGAGGTATAAGGAGACTCAGACACTACAAAACCACACTGGTAAAGGCAGGAAAAGGTGCACAACAGCAAGTGATGATAGAAGAATTAAGAGACTGTGCCTACGTGACAGAAGAAAATCATCTGGGTGTATACAAGATGAAATGGCGCAATGCAATGTGAAGTTGGGTGCAAGGACTGTTCGGCGCAGATTGCAGGAATTTGGCCTAAAATCTAGAATTCCACAAAAAAGCCACTTTTATCTCTCAAACAAAGGTTGAAAAGACTAAACTGGGCTAAAACCCATGTTACCTGGACAGAGGAACAATGGGACAGTGTTATTGGAGTGATGAGATCAAGATCTCCCTGTTTGGTAGTGATGGCATAAAACACGTAAGGAGAAGAATCGGAGAAAATTTGCATCCTGATTGCATTACATGTACCATGAAACACCCAGTCAGTGTTATGATCTGGGGTTGTATGACATCAAAAGGTGGGGGCAGAATTTGTGCGATTAATGGGAATATAAATGGCCAAAAATACATTAATGAAATACTTGAGCCCAAACTGAAGCCTTCCGCACATGATCTTTTCCAAGACAATGAAGCATTTATATTTCAACAGGATTCAGCTCCATGTCATGTTACTGCTTTGTGCAAAAACTGGTTTCAAGATAATCATATTCCACTGCTGGAATGGCCTGGGAATAGCCCAGACCTTAACCCAATTGAAAATCTATGAAGCCGACTAAAGAAACGTGTTAGTCAGAAGCGACCCAGCAATAAAACCCAGTTAATAGAAGCAATCATTCAATCTTGATTTCACATTATAACAGCTGCAGAACTAAAGGACTTGGTTCACTCCATGGGAAGACGTTGTAAGGCCGTAATTCATGCTAAAGGTTACCCTTTACTTAACTAAGTATTAACTGACATGGTGATAATTTTTGTATATCTCGTTTTTTCTACGTGTTTCACTTTTCTTCTTTATAACTGTTATTCTAATAGCAAATCCTTTATAAAAGTTATTGCATTACATTCTTGATTAAATTTTATTTCTATTGATATATAATTTTATGGCATTACTCCAAAAAAAGTGGTGTTATTAGCCATCAAACCTCAAATGTACACTTTTCCCAAAAGGTTTCCACAATTTTGACCACTACTCTGTATAAAAATCCATGGTCATCCAACAAGATTGAAAAGAGAGAAAAGACAAGAAAATGTTGTATAGGAATTCTACATAACCTTTGATGGAGACTACAAATTTAGCTTTGAAGGGGGATAAGATGATTAATGTAGGATAAGGCCACTGATACATATTAGTTATGCATGACTGAATTTTTCTGAAAATATGACAAGAAACAAGAGCAGGAGATAGTACAGTACAGCTTTTTATGTCTTGTGCTTTGTTAAGTTTATACTGTACATTGCTACTATAAGACACAGGTTTTCGTCTAATATAGCTCTTTTTAAGATAAACTACTACTATTGCTATATTTATTTTAATGAAATACTGAGAACAATATATTAGTTTGGTCTCACAATCCTTGCTTTGAATTACTAGCAATGGCAAGTAGATTTTGATGTTAAGAAGATGTAAGGAAAATGTCTGCAGCTTTATATATCTTACATCTAACCATTTGTACATTTAAATGAAACTAGCTAACGTGTAAACGTTAAAAATTTGGCAGATAGTAAAGTGGCAAAATGGTCTGTACATCTTTCATGGGTCTTGGCGAAGCTGAAGATTTCATGCACTGCTACAATGCTTTCAAATTCAGTGTCATCTGTTGCAGATGGTCACATGATCAAAATTCGGGTGCTTGGCATGTATTTATGACAGTTGCACTGTCCTAGGGTCATATGATCTATTTGTAACCTTCTCCGCTGGCTTCCAACAAGCATAGTCAATGGGGGAAGCTGGATTCACTTAATGACTGCATGATTCCCTTAACAACTGCTTAACAATTGTGGAAAAAAGGTCATAAAATGAGGCAAAAATCAACAACTGCCTTGCTGAGCAACAGAGGTTTTGGGCTCAATTGTGGTCATAAGTTGAGGACTACATGTAATGTACATATAGATGAAATAAAGTGGGGACAAAGATTTTCAGCATGTACTCTTGATATGGATAGGTCTGTCAAGTTACTGAGATAAAGATATAAATGTGTACCATTCACACACATACACACACACACACACACACACTTTAGGTTCTAAATGTAAAAATTAGATGTCACTTCTACAAAAGCAATTTTTTCTTGTGAATGCTTTGGAGGACAGGACTGTAGCTTAAGTACCAGTCAGTATTGGTAGGAATATAGAGCATTTTGATGATGCTAGATTGTTTTTCCTTAGGTTAAGTAGAAATATGAATCTTGGAATAGCTCCAGTATCAATACTCCTTTGTTTTAATCTACATTTTACATGTGGGCATCAATTTTTGAAATACAGGTTGTCTTTGGGTTATGATTGGGACCAGAATTTCAACTGCTCATGGGCATAAAGCATAATGTTACATGACTGCCTCACTTAGCAACAGCAGTTCTGGTTATCATTGTAACTGGAGGACTGCATGGGTCATTAAGTGAGTACTTTTCATAACTTCTCATAACAGACAAAGGAATCAAAGTTATGTATCAGAAAGTGAAACAAAAAATAGTAAAATTCCACATCAGAACAAAAATTATTTCTCAGATGAAATTTGGCAATATTAACCAGGAATTAAAATTGGCTATCTGCAATAAGCATATCAGTTTTTTAAAACACGGACTTTAGATTCTGACAGCAACATATGATGGTCAAATACTTCTTAGGCATTTTTATTAGATACTGCAATTTAACAGTAACATGGGAAAATAGACATGTAACAGAGATGACATTCTCTTATGTACCCTTCAGTTGAGGGATACCTTTTTTGGATTGAGTGCTTGTTCTTCAGTAGTATCTACGTTGTCTTTGTTATCGGTGTCTACTTCTTTGCATTCAGCTTCATCTTCACTAGTAATGGGTCCATTTTCACATAATGGAGTTTGGAAATCATCATCAACCAATGGAGGATAACTGTATTTGAAAGCATCCTATAACAAAAAGAAATAAATACATTATTTGTGACTATGAAAGAAAAGATTTGTGGGTAGACTGGATATAAAATTTTATAGAGAAGAAACTGGATTCAATTACAAACAATCCCAAAAAAGATGTGGGTGGAACAGTCAACTTGATTCACTCCTTAAGTGGCTACATTTCAACTGAACAGTTTTTGATGCAGCAGAAGCTGAAAATGTTTGCTTGTTCTGGTTTTCATAAATCTAGAATCTACAAGATTCTGAGGATTTGGGGGACTACCAAATGGTAAAAAAATCTCTCTTTGCTGCTAACACTAGAAAGGAAGTGCTAGGTTCTTTAAGAACTTGACTCGGTGTTTAAAGAACCTTCCACCAACTGCACTTTGAGGCAGCCTTGAACTGTGGGTTGCAGTTTCTATCGGATAAAAGATTTGACCTTAAGAAATACATCACAACTGCCAGCACTATTTCCTGGTGATAACTACAGATTTAAACTGCAATGAAATGTCACATCTGAATAATTTTTCCCCATTTGGAGTATCATACTTTCAGATTCCTTCCAAAGCAGCCATTCCTACTACTGAATCTGGAAAGAATAAAAGATACAGATGTGCAAGGGGATTTGCACATCCCTAAAACACAATGACTGAATATTTCAACCATAATTAGTTTTCTATCTTTTCATATGCAAACATGAAATCCTCTATTAACCACAAACAATATTTGAAAAATATCCATATAAGGGCTTACAAAACATGACCTTGGAGCTGGCTAATTAACTAATTCATTATTGTTAATCCTGCAGCTGGCTAATTAAGGCTAGATGATAAAAGACTGTACTTTTTAAAAAAAATCATAAATCAGAGAAAGCATTAGTAGACATAAAACAAAATGGAAAATTATAAAGGCTGAACAAAAGATTTGTTTCCCTGTTAATGACTGTAATTCAATATCAAATATAGTGAGTGAATATATCAGAAGTAATAATTCTTTTATGTTTATTAATAATCTTCTCATATACATTATGTAGATATCATAATTGCACAATTGCATACTTACAGTCCCACCCATATGGGGTGGTAGGTATTCAACAGTTATATACTCCTGGATTTCATTCTTATTGGTCAATTTCAACAAGGTGGCTGCTTCTGGACCCAACCAATTTTTCACAATTTTAAAAGCAGCTAGATAAAAAGAGAGGAATAATCACGATAGTAAAAGCTTTTACCAACCTATTTTTATTAATATGACATATAATGCAAATTCAGTTCAGATTATTGCCATTACTTAAAATGGGAATCATATAGAATAACTTAAGAGAGTCCCATATTTGGGAAAAATATATTCAGAATCGACTGAAATATGTAAATTTATTTAAATAATTTATGTGACTTTTGATGCTTCAGATAAAATAGACATAGAAATCTAAAATATATTCATGCTTTTAATTCAACTGTTAATCACAAGAATATCCCTACCATTAATGAAATCAAAAATCTTTGAAGAAATATTAACTTCTACAGTTTTTAAGATACTCTCTAAAGATAATTTAAAATTGCAACTCACCATTCATTACCCAAGGCAATTCAAAAATCACAATTTTTGCTGCAAGAACAAAAACAGTTTTTATTTACTTATTTTATTTACTTATTATTAGTTTTTAAAAAATATATTCTCTGGAATTATGGAGTGCTATAAACCAGGGCTTTTCAACTTTTTTACAGATTGTACCACTTTTAAGACATGACAATGTTTGAGTACCACCAGTGCTTAGGAAGGTGTCAAAAACTTGATGACTAAAAGAAAGGGGGGGGGGATTTTGGGTTTTACTGATTAGATTCATTTGTTGTTATAGAAATGGCTAGTTTATAATATTATGGAAAAGTAAAAAGTTGAGGTTCAATGTTAATGGTTCTTTCTACTGCAACACAGGAAGTCTGTTCTTTTTCCCTTCTCCTCCTCACTTTTCCCCCTTTTCCTCCCCACTGTGTCCTACTATTTGCTTTTGTATTTTATTTTACAATCTAATAAAATATTACAAACTGTAGAAAAAAGGAAAAAAGTACCCCTTTTAATTTCTTTGGTGGCTGTTCCTTTGCTGAATCACTTTCCCTTTGCTGACTGTTTACATACTACTTAAATAGGTACAAATAATTATACGTGGTGATGGTCGATCGAGTCCCCAGAAGTTTGAACCGTGAAAATTCTGAACACCTGAAGAACTCCCAGAATTCCTCAGCCATCATGGCTGGTTGAGGAATTCTGGGAGTTCAAGTCCACAGGTCTTAAAGTTGCTAAGTTTGTAGATCCCTGAGCTGGCTGGTCAGCCCTTCTTAGCTCTCCTTCAACAGTGTAGTAAGAATGCACCCCCCCAATCCCTTCCCTGTACCCTTAAAGACACAGGAATCAAGTGCAAAGCAAGAAAGGCTCACAAAATGAAGAAACACATAAACTCTGTGTCAACGCTGCTAACATCGAATGTTCTTGCTTTGACAACATATGGAGATGCAGCCATTTTCCTTTACTTTATGTTTTACTCTTAGAGTTAGAATTAGATGATACTGGGGGGAGGACTCAGGTGAGTGGAAATATCTGTCCGCAGCTTGCAGTCAGTCAGTGGAGAAATTGGTAGAGAAGTTTGAGGGGCTGGAAATGAGAAGTGGGGAGCAACCTTCCCATTCTCCCTACGCCAGCGATCAGGACAATCAACTCCTACTGAGAGGAGACCCCAGCCCCAGCCCTCTTTTATAATAAGAGATGATAAGACATGGCGGGTTGGCTTGGACTATGTACGTGCTGATGTGTTGCTACTCGAATAAAGATTCTTTAAGGTAAACAATGCCTCGAAGTCGGAATCATAGCACTCCGTTTTTTTCCCCTTTAAACTGCCTCAGGCGTGTCAAGTGTCATAATGCTGCAACCGAAGACTGAAAGGCTCCGGCAATTGCAAAAAACTTTAGCTTTACATTAAACATGTTTACCTTCAAAGAAAACTTTCTAAAAGCCATAAACAGACTCAAGGGGGTAAAACTAATTACATTTGTTTAAAGGGATTAAACCTACAGAAGTCAACACTTTGGACTCATTGCTAGCCTAAAATACAGACTAAAATATTCCAATAACCAAAGCACACAAGGGAGCCTCTGAATTACAAAACCCTATAAAAACTGTACAAAAATCCTTATGGTAACCCAATCAAGTTGCCAGCTGATCCAGAACTAAATAAATCCACCTCCTTTCCCACATGCCGGTTTTTCATTTCATTAGCACTGATTGCATTCTCTTGGCTGGAGAAAACGAACCAGGGCACCTTTTCTTCCAGTAACAGCTGCTGCTTCTTCTTCTCTGTCTCTGTTTCCTCCCTGCCGGTTGACTTCACCTTATCTTTCCCTGTTGTCTTTTTTTTTTTCCTTTTCTGCCCGAACCACCTCCTTTTATAGCCTCCCCCTTTTTCTTCAGTTCACTTCCAGCTCCCAGCCAAGTGCCAATCAGCTGGAGCGAATCAGCTGGAGCCCAGACAGTCCTGCAGCTGCAGCTGCCTCTCCCTCAGGCTTGGGTCACTTTGGCTCATTCCCCTCCCCCGCTACACTTGGCTAGCAGTCACGTACCACCTGCCACATGGCAAAGTACCACAGGTGGTACACGTACCACTGGTTGAAAAGCCCTGCTATAAACAATGCCTTTGGCTAAAATTAACTTTTTTTCTTGGTGGGTCTGGCTTCTGAATCTTAAGGACAAAATTAAATCAATTTGGTTAAAAAAGTTAAACTGCAATACCAGGTGCTCTCATTGAAAATGAAAATGTCACAAGTTTTCTTCAGCAGCATATCTGTAACACTGATCTTCAACTCAATCATCTTGCATCATATGGGATCTTCCAAATGGATATAATATGTGCTAGCTTCTTACCTCTCTTCTTTCACAGACCAGAACTTTTCCTGTTTTTCTGACTAGACCAGATCCACTGCTTTCTGTCATGCTGTTGGAGCATTGCAAAAATATTCCTATACATCAGCATATATGTCCTCGGAGGACAGCTCAGTAGTCCAGTCCTTGAGGTATATGCTTCTGTTTGCTCTTAACCCAGGGAATCATAGCTAACATTTATCCATCCTATCCTGAAGAAATTATCTGACAAAGGGGATGGCTTTTATCTGTCACTTCTCCCATCTGACCATTTTTTAACTCTAACATCCTAGATTGCCCAATTTGACCATATGTCTCTGCTTGTGACTGAAAACTGTTTGGCTTCATTTTTTTCTACTTTATCTTTATTTTAGTCATCTCATTGGTGGCTTTAAGCCATTCATAAACATTTGATCTGATATGGATGCCTTCATACTTACTGAGAAAATTAGGATAATATACTTTAAAACAGCTAATGATATACCGGACAAAGTCAAAGTCCTAAAATAAAAACAGATTATCAGTTAATAAAAAGTCAGCAGATATTTTACTTAGCATCTTCAGGGCTGAGCTTTCCCAAATCACCCTCTCTGTGAGTTTTAGAAGTGAGTTAAGAGTTTCAAGCATTTTATGTAGCATACAATATAGAAAATTGTATTTCCTTACTAGAAAAAACATTTAAAGGTTAAATCTTTGAAACAATTTAAACAATCTATTCAAATTACCTATAATGTTAACTGGGTGTGCAGATTTAATAAAACCCTCTGACCGTTTGTATTATTTGCAATGAGAACCAAAACCAATCCATGTGGCATCCTGCATGCACTCTCATGAGGTTCTTTGATGACTTGTCACAAGAAAACACTTGACTGCTTCATCAGAAGACTGATACAAATGCATTTTCCCAATAGCTATATAATGCTGAGTTGCTGTCAGATCTTAAATACATTTCCATGGGACTTTGAAAACCAGCAAACATTATTACATAATTTTCTATTAAGTAAATAGAATACTTATGCTAGCTTTTATTAAAGAGCTAACTTAGTGATTCATGACCCAGTCAATCCAGAATACTTAAAGATTTATGCCAAAGGGCAAATAATTAATTTAAATTCCAGTACTCTACCTAGAATATTATCTAAGGCTGTTCTGTATAAATTCAATTTTCAAGCCACAATAATATGAAATAATTTTTAAAATGCTTACGATATTACTCAGTCCAGTGTCAGCCATGTCGAACACCACTGTCAATGGCTTTCCATTTTCTTTTTTTGCATAGCGCTCTAACCAAAAGGCTACTAGTTTCTTTTTTTCAAATTGTGTTTTAGAATCTTTTGTATGTAATTTCACCCGGAACCAAACTAATGGGGGGGGGGAGAAATACATATAAATGTGTCAAAAAGGTAAGAACAGCTTTCAGGCTATCTCTAAATGAAGATACTATTTGTTTTTTAACGTATGTTTTCTTTTTTTCATATGTCTCTATAACTTCTTTATTCTTTTAATTTAAAATCTTAGAAGATAAAACATTACAAATCAAAAATATTTTATACAGAAATCAGGTAAAATTAATTTTCTTTACTAGTGTGACATTAAAAATCAATGTTTCTGAATTAAAAACAACTCAAAGTGGATGATTTGATAAATATAATTTCCAAATCTAATTTTCTATTTTAAGTTGCATAGTACCTGCTATCCAACTTAAAATAGGGCCAGAAAACCTTTGAAAATTGCTATTTGATTATGTACACTACTTCAGAAAAATTCTGAACATTTGATCCTGTTAACAATATTTTATCACATACTATACTATCACTTTCCAGGGAGTATTTTGGTTCACATTTTAACATAAGTGTGGCAATTCCTGCACTTTTTGGATATTTCAATTACCATAAAGGCTATTTATTCTAAATTAAAAATATTCACCTACTACACCTTGCAATGTCTAGAAAATCTAAAATGCCTAAAATTATGCTCCTCTAGCATCTTATAAAAGGATAGATTTCAGAGTCAGCCATGCTGGGCTCCACAAATGTTCAGAAGCTCAAATTAATTGAGTTTTTCCAGAAGGCAATCTACCCTTTTTGTATTCATCAAATAAAACTGCTAAGATTGCAGTGACAATATGACCCTACTGCCTATCAAATTTAATGAGAATAATTATTTATTTTCACTGAATTGGATTGTACCAGCCAGGTCTGAAGTACTGTATAGTTATGATGCAAACTTCAGTAGGAAGACTAAAAACAGACAGAAATTTAATCAGAACAAGGATCTTTGTATACAAGCCTCAAAAAGGAGTATTACGCATGGAAAATCTAAAGACCTCTGAATCCACGTTTACATGTTGGTAAGTCAGTGGCACATTTTCTATTATTTCTTATGAAAGATTTCTTATACAAAAAACTATTTTGTACACAATTTAGCCACTTGAAATGCAAATACAATCACAATCCTTCCAAAAAGAATACCAAATAAACAATAATTCAATCCATAATCTAGCCCAATTCGTTCTGAATTATCACTCAAATCATTACAGCCCTCAACTTAAAAAAATTACTGATAATGTTCATACATGATCATCCATGGTTTATTTCACTATGGTTTACTGAATAAACCACAATTTGACTTATTTTTAAGCCAACACCCAAGAAACCATATGGCTTAATGAACAAAAAGATTGTTCAACCCTGAACTAGACAGAATAGGAAAAAAAACATTAGCACTTTCAAATTTAAAATGAAACCTAAAGTATGTTATTATTTATATACCTCTAAATTAAATATAGTATTAAAGTTCTATTTTTAATTTATACTTGTTACTAAAATAAAAAATGCAATTGTTTTTAATACAGATATATAAAGATTGCATTGCTCCTCTTAAATGTAGGTGCCATAAGCAATTTTAAATGTATATCAGAACTAAAGAAATAAATAGATTTTGTTATACACCACCACCACCAATGCCACTGATTTCAATGACTTTATCCCAATCCCTGTATTACTTTAAGTTCTGACAGTATGGTTGCATTTGAATTAATGAATGAGTAAATAAAATTGTAAATTTGACTTACATATTTTATAGCCCTCCTTATCGTAACCATGTAGATAAATAGCACCAACATCAAGCATCAATTTTGGAAAAGAAGATTCAGTCAAATCTGAAGAAATCAGTCTTGTTTTATCATTAAAATAATTATTTTAGTATATCACATACGGTAACAGCATTCTAAAATCTTAAATAAAAAGGGTAGATGAAATTGCTTTATTTTATTCCAAAGAAAAGTTATTATTTCCAATCACTATATTTTAGATCAAAGAGTAATAGTTACTACCTAAAGGGTAATGCCAAATTTAGATACAGATTTTTAAATCTAAAATGGAGTTTAAAATATTAGTTCAAAGTTAATTATATAATTATTCTTATTCTCATGTAATAGCTGCAAAACCCAACAATGAGGGAATTAGGCGACCACATTGAGAATCTGCAAGCACAGTTCATGGTTTAATTCTTGACACTGCATAAAGACTGCTGTGAATTAGATCAGCAGTCCATAACCTTTCTGGCTTTGCAGACTAGTAGCGGTGGGAGAGGAGAAGGGATGGTTCCGCACAAGTGGCAGGTGAGCACGCACAGCTTCATTTGCACAAGCGGCAGGTGCACATGTACACCGCTCACACAAATGGACCATTGTTCGTGCATGTGCTCACCGGCCGATAGCGCAGCTCAGTACCAGGCCATGGCCCGGAGTTGGGGACCCCTGAATTGTTCAGCAAAGACCTCACATGATTATGAATTCAAACTTCTTGCCAGTTTCCCCACTGAGTTTACACTGTAGAAAGCTGGTGGGGAATGTAAGACATCGCAATCATGTGATTGCTGGGATGCTGAGATGATTGAAATTACAAAGACCTGTCATAAGTACCATTTGATCAGCACCACTGTAACTTTGAACAGTTTGAACTTTGAACCTGAGACTATCCATATAAACATAACATTTAATAAACATATTAAATGTGTATGCCATTCATCTGATTATGAAACATGGTGTACATATGGTTATACCCAGCCTTGAGATACCTAGTTTCATTTTTTTTCAGTTTAGAATACAATTTCCTCTGACAACAGTTACTTTCAGCTGTTTATATTTTTTATTAAATGCATATCAAAACATTTTTCAAACCAATAAAGAAATATCTTACCATGAACTGCATACTCTTTTCTCCACTGAAAGCTTTCATCAATCATCTTCAGTGTATCATCCACAATATCATCTCGCCATATTAAGAAATTATCAACCCAGGTATCATCTTGATACAATCTTTCTATATCCCTGGAATCATATTTATTTCTTTTTGCTGATCAATATGAATAGAAGATTGTTATTATACTTTCTCATAAAAACTGGGTCATAAAATGTCTTTAAAAGAAGTATTTGTAGGAAGCTAATATTTAATCTATAAAATAATTAAACAAAATACCTATACTTTTTCTTGACCTATGGACATTAAAAGCCCCCACCAAAATTGCAAATGAGTTCTAACCATTTTTCAAATCCTTGAATATTTCAAACCTAAATGCCTGCAAATACTTTGTCAAAATCATATTTGAGCTAGCAGGAAAAATGCAGACTAGCTTTCTGCTGTTGAGAGGGCTGCACAACTGAACTGGAAAATCGTGTTTTTGATTTAACCATAGTACTTTCTAAATTTGGCTATCCATATGATTCTGTTTTCTTTATCAAAGAACCCATATGCTGTGAAAACCTGGGCAAGAGCACAAATTCAATATGAAAAGGTTAAATTTACAACAGGGTAATGTTAAGTTGTTTGTAACCACAACCAGTGTATATTTTTTTATTATAATTGTACAGTATGGGAATGTCAGTAATGCTTCTTTACTCTGCATCTGGTCTTTAGATTACAGATAAGAAGTATCGTAAGTATGAAAGCAAATGAAGCTGACTCAAGGAGCACCATGATGTAATGGGCAGATTGTTGCAGTAAACACATTACATTGGGAGTGCATGAGAAGGTAAGTGAAACTAAATGTTTACCACTTAACCATGAGGATTTTCAAACTTAAAACTGTAGTCATTCACACAGCCTTTAGTAGTCACAGAATACAAAGAAATGCAAGAAGACTCCACCTTTTTTAAGCTATGTACTTCTGAGAATAATCAATTTTTTTTTTAATCTTTCCTACTGCAGACAATCTATAACAGGGATGTCAAACTTCCAGCCCACGCGCTGGATGCATCATGCAGAAGCTGAGACCACCCCAATTCTGGCAAGGGAAAAAAAGTCACAATACATCGCGACACATCACGTGATGTGGCAAGTTTGACACCCCTGATCTATGATGTTATAAATGCACAGGATAAACTATAGCATGAACAGAATATTCATATTACCAACCTGATAAATATTCGGTCTCAAAACGCTGTCTGATTTCACTTATTAATGGGCCCCTGTTGTCCTGCTAAGAAAGAACACAAAAACTCATCAACACATTAAACATTTATATACATCTCTGCAGAATCTTTGGGATACGGCTAAAGCATATTTGAGGGGGGTTATTATCTCATATACGGCTAAGAGAAATAAAGAGAAACAGCAATATAAGATAAGGCTTGAAGCAAACTATAGGCAGGCGGAAATACTACTCCAGAGAAACCCTGGAAATAAAGGATTGAAAATAAAAATGGATTTAATTAAACATAAACTCAATTTAGAGGAATCAGAAAAATATGCACAAAAATTACAGGCAGCTAACCAAAAAAATTTTGAGCATGCAAATAAATCGGGACGATGGCTAGTGTATAAATTAAGAAAACAGAAAGAGAAATCATGGATTACTAATCTGATAGATGAAAATGGAGAAATCCAGGG